AGGAAAAAAAAAATCAAAACTAAATTTGGAAATGGTTCTGGCTGTTTTTTCTTGATTAGACTTCTGATGGAAGCCAAATTTATATGCAGTAGGTCTCCTACTGGTAAAACAGACTGGCATTTAACTGCCTAGACCATTATCTGAGATCATGCTTCTTTAGCAACAATATCATGGGAAAGGTGAGTTGTGGCTTGGGGGATGTGCTGTAAATACGAATCCACTAATATTTTTGAATTTCCCACTCATACTTTATATTCCCATGGAAGATACTATATCCTTAATATTTGCTTTCTATTTCTTGGTAGGTGAGAAGGCTTTCAAGTGTGAGATTTGCTCTTATACCTTCATTGATGCAAGCTCCCTGCAGCAGTGTTTCTGAACATGCTCTGGTGAGAGGCCCTGCAAATGCTGACTCTGTTCATATAGTCGGTAAGTGTCAATAATCCCCCTGTCAGGCAAATTCTGTAAATCTGATGGCTTTTAAAAAGCAACAGTAAAACCCTCACCCTAAATTCACACATTTAAATATATTCCTATTGGGAGCTTGTCTCTAAGAAGGCTTTTTTATTTAAAGGGATTGCTTTCTGTCCCCTCTTTACAACTCAGTCTGTATATAACTACTGCAAAGACTGTCCTAGAAGATGTATGGAACACTAATGTGGAACACAGTTGGGGCTGTTCAGCCTGGAGAAGAGAAGGCTGCGTGGAGACCTCGTAGCAGCCTTCCAGTATCTGAAGGGGGGCTATAGGGATGCTGGGGATGGACTATCCATTAGGGACTGTAGTGACAAGACAAGGGGTAATGGGTTAAAACTTAAACAGGGGATGTTTAGATTGGATATAAGGAAGAAGTTCTTTACTGTAAGGGTGGTGAGGCACTGGAATGGGTTGCCCAGGGAGGCTGTCAATGCTCCATCCCTGGCAGTGTTTAAGGCCACGTTGGACGAAGCCTTGGGTGGCATGGTTTAATGTGGACAGTCCCTGCCCATGACAGGGGGGTTGGAACTAGATGATCTTAAGGTCCTTTCCAACCCTAACTATTCTATGATTCTATAAATACAAAAATACACAGTAGAAGGCAGTGATATATCTGTGTCTGTGTGTGCAGGGGTACTGGGACAAATAGTAGTGACTTGCATAAAAGCAAAAATGTGTTCATTCACTAACTGTATGTCCTAATTTGCTGTATAAGGGGCACCATGCTGCTTTTTCACAGTGATTCTGTTGTAGTGTTTTGATTCCACCTTCCTGCTCCTGCCAACTGAGGAAATGCTTGCATTTCTGACACTGCTAATACTTTTCATTTTGCAGTGTTGGCAGCATGTGTCATGTGATGAGTGGGAGCATTAGCTAGTCTTAGTAAAGCCTAAGTACATGTTGAAAGTATGTACTTAGCAGCCTTAGAGGCTGTTTAAATGTTAAATTCTTATGTCTTTAAACTCTGTACACTGAATGATGTACTGTTTGCTTTGGGGTTTTTTAAACTCAGAAGGTTTAAACTAAGATAAACTAATGTTCACAAGTCACTTCTTTAGGTTTCTTTTCATTGAGAATTTTTCAGTGTGCAGTATTGGAATAACAGGAAAAAATAATTTTTCCTAATTTTGGTTGCAGATGTGTAAAAATTCAGAATTGTAAACATTATCCAAATGCTGTAACAAATGAGGGAAGTTTGTAAAATTGAATGGTTGTTTATTAGAAAGACAAATATTTGTTTGCAGATATTTACTTCTAAGAAGTATCAAAAATGTCCTAATTCATGAGCAGAAGAAAATAGTGGTTGAAGAACTTGAGGGGTATGATAGCAGTGAACTCCACAGAGTAGACAGTGGAACAGTGATAGCCTATTACTCTTTATGCATTACTGTAGTAGGCGTAGGAAATACAGTTTTAGTTATAGGATACAGCTAAGCCTGATAGGGGCTGTAATTCAGCAAGTTCTGTACTGCTAAAAATCTGTTTTTTAATAGACCATTCTAATACCTGTCACAGTATTTTATCTCTTTCTGCAGTATTACTTTACAAACATTTTTCATTTACTTGTGATAAGCCAGCCCTTCTTGCAGGGATCAAAGATTTTGTTGCTTGCAAATTACCAATGTGCCTTCTTTGGACAGGCTTCTTCGGAGCCTGCTTTGCTCCCTTAGATGCACGTTAGCTATCATAATGTAAACACTTGCACATTTAACTTTTGCGGTGGAACTAATTCCATTTGAAGTTCATAAAACTGTTCATTAATAAATTAAAAAAGAGAGTCCTATGAGATCAGGAAGTGAATGCTTTAACAAATGTCTGAAACTACTGGTTTCTTGTATCTCTACTTACAAAACATTTAGTTGCTGTGTGCATAATGGTCCATACATAAATAGTTTGGTTGTTTGAGATTACTACTTGTGAAACAGTTTGCCTGAACTGGGTAAATACAGTTCAGTTTGGTTTTTTTTTCTTAAGTAATCTATTTCAGGTCTGTACCAGATTTTTTTAAGCACGCTGGAATATAACACACTCTGTTTCAGAATTGTATCAAAAATACAACAGAATGTAAGAATTCTTCCTAAAGAAGAAGAGGACAGAAAAAGACCCAACCCTTTTCCAGTCCCTAAGCACGTACTTCACACTCACACAGAACTCCTTGACTGATTCAGTGGGCTGTATTCAAAAGTGAGGTGTAAAGGGTAGAAATCACATGCAGACCTGAGTGTAAACAAGACTAAGGATGGCATAACTGCAGTGGTGAAATATACAGAAAAGTGTAATCTCTGAACTTTCCCAGTATTCTTATTTAGTTTGTGAATAAATACATATTGTTTGCTGTTATTCAGTTAGAAAAAAGTTTATTCAGGCTCTCACCTTGTGCTTTACATTCATCAGATATATTGAGTGAAAAAATACAGTGAACTCTCCAGTGGAAACTGATCATCAAAATTCAGGATTACAGTGAAATTTTAATTTTAAAGTGCATCCCTCTGTATCAATATGTGTATATATTTGTGTGTATATGTATAATGAGCTGAAGACTTAAAATGTGTATGTAACTATGCTGTTCACAGCGGTCTTTTTACTTTAAGGCTTTGTCTTATCAAGAGCTTAGAGCTATGTAGAAAAAGAAACCTAAATTTGCTTGGGATATCTGTCTTGCTTAGTGACATGGAAGAGTCAGATAACTCCTTTTGATGGTGCAGAATCCGACAGGCTCACAGTTTTGGTAGTTTTGCTGTCAAAGACTACAAGAGGATTTCCTTAAAGTTGGTGTTCCTGATTATGACAGGGAGAGTTCTGTGCTGCTTTAATAAGAATATATGGGAAAATATTTCATCATTTGTGTAAATTTTACCTTGAAAACACAAGTTTTTCTATGTCTGTGTAGTAAAATAGTTTTGTACATGCCAGATAGCAAAAAATGTAATTGGTTTAGGTGTAAGGGGAAAGGAGGGTTAGGGTATCCTTTTCTGATGTAGTGTACTTTAAGAAGGTCTAGAGTCTTCTGCTTGTTGCATTCATACAAATACCACCATCACGTGAGTACTACAACCCTGAATACAGGAAACCCATGAATATTTGCAGCACCAACCTTGAGGTTTTTAAGCTGGTATGGTATATGCATTGTGAAGTCTAAGAACTAATTTTAGCCAACTTAGTTGTGTAATCTGACCTCTTTGTGGACCCCCTTCTATACTCAGTGGAGAATGGTGGGCATTCCCACAAGACATCTTAATTTCATATGAGACATTAGTTAAATGTGTGGGCTAATTCACCCCCGTTAGGGTTACTTACTGCCTGCCTACAGTTAACTTTACAGAGGAAATCTAGAGTAGACACCCGTTGGCAACATTATGCAGGATGAATCCTCTTGTAGGTGGTGGTTTTAATTTCCTAGCTCATAGGGCTGCAAACAGTTGTTGCCAAAATAAACAGATCCTCAGTATCTGTTTAAGGAAAGCCTTACATTCAAGGAAGCTACCATTACAAATTGGTAAGTTTTGAAATATGATTGTTTGATGTTAGTGATGTTAGGTAACAAGTGCTGAGACTAACCCACAAGTCTCAGTTCTCTTGCAGCCTGTATACAGCTGTATTCTAGGTTGGCCTTGTATGAGGGAACTGCCAAAATCTAAAGATTTAGGTTCTATATTTGCTATTCCCTTGAATTTGAAAGAACTGAGGTTTTGGATCAGGTGATAATTCCACTATCTCAGGGCAGAATTTAGACCCATAGTATGGAGCAGACCTCACATTTTAATGTAGAATGAATCATGGACAGTATTGCTGTTATGGTTACTTTCTTTATTTTGAAGTATGTCCGTGTCATAACGTGAACTAAGTGGGTTGAAATGACAAATGAAAGGTAGAACTTTTTTGTATATTCAGACTGGTTTGCAGCTTTCATGACATTGAGCTGGAATTATATGCAGATACACATGCACACACAAATGTGTGCGTATCTGGTGTGCGTGGCTGCATGCTGGTGCAATGCCAGCATACTTACATTAAGGATGTAAATGCATATAAGGTCCTGTTAAAAGGTAAATTGGGGCACTTGGCCTTATAGGAGTTTAGGTACCTATTGCATGTATGAAGGTTTTATTTTTGAAGAGTAGATATATCCACATTTGCACAACTGAAAGTGAAGTAGAAACACTGCTGGAAGCATGGTGCAGGCTCCACTAATTTACTCCAGTGGCTGGAAAAAGAACAGTGAAAGGTGTTACCTTGCTTGAGATGACAAAGAGACATATTTTAGGTCTAGAAACCCTCAGTTGGGCATACAGCTAGCTGTAAGTGAAATCATTGAGCTATGGCTCAGGAGGGCTGTGTTCTGATCTAGCTTTTGCCATTAAGACAGAGCCACAAGATCTTGCTAGGGATGACTCATACCCTCACCTCTTGTTTGGCTATTTTAGATTTCTGAACACTCCAAATACAAACTGCCAGGCTGTGCTTGTGCAGTGCTCACTGCTACTGATAGTACTAATGACTGATACATTTTTAATTTATTACAGCATTCAGAAGAAGAGCTTGGACCTTCACATATGCTGACATCACACTGGTGAGGTGTGGTTTTTGCTGCTATTCTTCTGAGAAACAGCTTCTCCAAAAACACATTAAGAAAAATCACCTAGGTTCAAGAAGTTTCTTAACCAGCTCCCAGCTCACTTTTACCCTCAGATCACTTCCTGTAAAAAATTAGGTTCTTCATGCTTGAACTACCACCAGAGCATCCCTGCGAATAAGGAAGCTGTTGGCGTTGTCACACTTCTGTGCTGAAAGCCAAGGGTTATCTGGAAGAAGAGAAGAAACAGTCCCTATGCGGCAATTAAAAGCACTTAGAATGGTCTTCCCGAAAGCCTTCTGTGTATTTTGGGGCAGGTGGAAACTCCAGTGTGCTGAGAGGAGTGTGAAGATTTGTGTTGCACAAAGGTGGACATGTTGATTTTTTGTTCTGGTTACCTCTTGCTGATATATTCTGCTTACTTACAAATGAAGAGTTTGACATTTGAAGGCAGAATCTGTTGAAATGTACCAAAGCTGACAGTGAACACTACTGGTTGTTTCTGTACTACATCTCTTATTTTTGATACGGGTCTCTACATAAATTATATATATATATTTAAATATATATATAAACATATATACAAGTAAATTATTAAAAAAAAAATCTACTGATGCTGTAGGACTCAATGTGGTAAAAAAAAAATCCTGAAATGCCTTCGTATTTATTTTGTAACAAAATGTGTCTATTATCATAAGCTGACCCATTGTTGAAGTAAAAATATAAACTATTGAAATGTGACATCACATAAACTGTACCCTATTCAGCCAAATAGATATTGCTCACTTTAGAAGATCAAATTAGAAGAATGATATACTTTCTAATTTTAGGCTGTTAGAGGACTGATTTTACTCCATGACTGCACATTTGTTCTTTGACTATGGTGGTTTTGTAGAGTCTGTTATCAGCTGTAAATGTTTCTCAGAAAATGTAACTGTTGCTAAAAATAAAAAAGCTAATATCACAACTTCCTACCAGACAGAAGCAAATAGTGACTGAAGTGCATGTACACTGTTCTCTTAAACACAATTGTAAAGAATACACTGCTTCAACAGGATGAAAGTTTCCCTTCCAGGTAAGTTGTAGATTTCTTGATTTACGGGAAAATGTTATTAAAAGAGTTATGTGGAGAGTAGCTACTGGCAAATTGTAGGTAGAATCTTTATTAAAAAATTGAAGATAAATTAATTTTCAGAGAAGAAAATTCTTACACTGTTAGAAACTGATGGTCATCATAGACCTCATTTTCCTGTTACACAGTTGGAAGAGGAGAGGTTAGAAATGCATACCTAAACAGAAACACTTGGTGCTTCTTCATCGGAAGTATAATAGTTGGACATTTACAACCGAGGATATACATAGCTACTAATGGGTAATATTTTCTTTCCTTAATGCAATTTACATTGCAGCATTTTAACTTGTTTGTACAACAAGTGTGATGGTTATTTAACTTGAAATGGCTTGAATGGTTCTTATTTACATCAACAGCAGTACTTTACTTTGAAGGATTCCAGCAGCTTTTCATTAACTTTGCACTGGGAGAATACTTTGACCCTTGTTGATAGGCCCAGAGGATGATGAGTTAATGTGTTGGTTGTTTAATAGCATTTAGCAGTAGCATAAGATGTGAAGTACAAGGGGATGTAGGTATGTGGAATTTAATTAACCAAACTGGAATTCGGCCGAAACTGAATCAGATCAATGGCCCCAATCTTGCAAAAAGCACGAGGGGGCTTGTAATAGTTGGTAAGTGACCTGAGCTTTCATTTTGATGTCACCTTGACAACTGTGGTGTAAGCAATATAGAACCTACTTTTCTAGGGAATTTATTCAGTAATGTCGTGAAGGATGGTCTGTACCACTTACTAAATTACTAAAGATTACTTCTGGCAGCATTCTGTCCTGTTTTTACGTCTTTCATATAAGCTCAACCTTAGCGTTTGAGAACAGGCAAGAGTACAGCATGGAGTCGCAGAGCTGCAGGCACAGCATGGTGCAGTTGCGTGCCCACTAGAATTTATAATGTGCTGGGTCTTGCTTTTTATTTCCCATTTTTTTCTCCCCACTGTTGTTGTGCCGGCTGTATGACAGGTTTAATAAGTTAATTAGAAATAGGATCTTGAATACAAAATAGGTGCTTTTTTTTTTATATATTTATTAGCCCATTATAAAGGGGCAGGAATATTCAGCATTAGCCAATTTACTGAAAAGACTGATGTGGCAGGTTTTGTATGTGTAAGGTAGGATTTACAGAGCCAAATTCTAATCTGTTCTTTATACCAGCCTCAGGCAGTACAGTTTTTCTGCAGTAAAGTGAAAGATTTTGGTATGTCCTTGTAAGTGATCTTTCAGTATGGATATGACACAGTCTGTCATTGCTCTCTAGAAAATGTCTAGTCCTTCCTTGCTCTCTGGAAAAGGAATGAAATTTAGTTAGAAATTTAGACAGAACCTAATAATCTTGACATGTTTCTCTTTCGTTGTGTTAAGACATCCTGGAATACTTAGCTTTTGATAAAAAGTCTACTCACCCTGGTCATTCAGGAGTAGCTATTAATGAAACACTTATGTGGCTATCATGTAAAACTATATTAATATAAAATATTAATTATATAGTTATATAACTATATAAATATAGTTAGATCAGTAAGAAATTAATTTCTGGTTCCACTGCCATATATATTAGAGATCTTTCAAGCCTGCTTCCAACTCCAAGCAGAATTTTTTAGAATATCTAAGTTAGTATGCTTTGCTTTCTTTCTGTGTAAACCAGCAAACAGTGATGGTGGATGTGAGTGTGTTTGAATGTCAACTTATGTGAGTCCACAGGGAAACTGAGGTGGGCTTTTTGTGTGGCTGTTAAAAAGCCATTAACTGTGTTTCCTCTTGACCAGACTGTCCCTTGCATTCCCTTTCCTTCTCACTTCCCTTTGCTGTCAGGAAACACCTTTCACAGAGCAGTAGTTCGACATAGTGCAGCCACAGCATTGGTATGGGGCTGTAACAAAGTTGACAGAGGACTCTCTGTCTTGTTATATTCAGGCAAATGTTTTACTGTTATAAATAATGCATGTTTTAATTGGAAACTGCAAATGGAAACATCAGTCTCTACAGGCTTGTTGATTGCCATATAATCTGTTAGGGGCAGATTCTGGTTACATGCAGAACACACAACACATTCTCCAGATTTGTGATTGGTTGTTTTTAATAGTAATACCTGTGCTAATGAGTCCCTTCCTATAAATTAAGACAAATGTCATCTTGATAGTCATCTGCCATATATTATTAAAGTTGCCTGAAACTATTAGAAGACTGGGTACCCACTGATGTTCTAGGTTCTATTTCCCTTCCCTTGGTTTTGAAGGTACATTTAACTATTAATAGGGGATGATTTTAAAAGCAGATAATAAGCATAGTCATTTCTTGCCAGATTTCCCTGGGATTAATCACACTGTGCCTGATGTTAGCCACAGGTTTAGGCCTGAATGAATAGTTACTGTGGCTAAACTGATACTTGGCTGGAACACTAAGCACATCTATCAGGATGAGCACAACTTTTTGTGCTATTTTAATTAAATTTGTTAAAACACATATAAGCTTCTTCTAAACATAACATCCTACCAGCTTCAGTAAAGGTGTCCAACAGTTACCTAAGTGGTGCATAAGTGTGTAAATGCAAATCTGTGTGAAGTCTATTAGTTAACTTTAGGCTAGGTTGATTTTTGCTTCAGTGTGGATCATTTCTGTTTGCATGCATTCACCAGTCTTGTTTGAAACTCATTTAACAGTATCAAGATGAATTTTGCAAATTTCTTAGTAGTTCATAGGTATTAAAATAGTAAATACTGTGCCACCCCCCCCAACTTGCAGAACTGTTATAAAAAGGGGAAACAGATTAGGATGGCACAGTGTAATTTTATTGCTGTTTGGTTTGGGTACCCTAATGTCCAAATGTTTGTTGGGAAAGGCTGAGTGAGCACTTATAGCTGGAATGCTTCTAAGAATTAGAATTTAGAAATAAAATAGGATTTAAATGTGTGGAACTCATAACTGACTTGGAATCCTTCCAGAAGTGTCTGAATCCTGACTTGAGAAACTGCTGTAGGAACACTGGACCTCAAGCTTTGCGTGTCTAGAGCAAGCCAGTGTCTCAGCATAGTTATGCATTGAGTTACAAGTGAGCTAGGTGCCTCAGAATCCAATCCAGAAGATTCTGACATTCAGCAGTGATCCTTTAAGTTAATAGGCAAGGCTGAAAGTAGGATTGAGTTTTACCCTTAATCTTCAGACTTGGGTACCTCTGGCTGGTCATGATTCACTCATGAACTCTTCCCTCCTTCTTTGATGGTTGGAGTCTGCTCTGACAAAACACACCCAGGGAAAGTCCTGGTTTAATTTGTTTGCCTGTATGAGTTTATCACATGGATATTCAGATCACTCCTTTGCACAGGAGGTCAGGATTTCATAGTCTCAGTTTCCCAAGGGAGTGCAGAAAGGTAAAACCCTTTGGAAATGGGGTTTATCAAGTGCTTCTATGAAATTTATGCACTAGGAGACTAGGCTTCTAAATTCTGTTCCATAGAGTATTTAGATCTGTGTTAAATGGAACAGAGATTAAGTCTCATCATGCCATGTAGCATGACTTAAATGACTTAAATGCTATGTTGTGTAGATATTCTCTTTTTTTTTTTCTGTTGGCTAATAATGTCTGGATTAATCTGTGTGCATAGCAGTAGTTCCAGGTGTTCTCAGAGCAATATGATCAGGACCCTTTCTTTAGGGCTGGTGGGCATATTATCAGGCAGAAGAGGGTTTTTTAAATTTTTCCTTCACTGAGGTTGCAGAGCAAGTCATGGGAAGAAGTTAGGGAAGGAAAGAGAGTTGTATGCATCAGTCTCTTCAAATATACCAGTTCTTTTTAGGACAGTGGTAAAAATAAGAAAGAATGATAACTTCTTTCCCTTCTTCCACTAGAAGATTCATTTTGAAAACAAATTTAGGATAGCTAATTAAACTAAAAAGGTAGGAAAGAGAAGTGTGACTTGGATAATATTGCTCAAACCTGATTTTTGTTGTAGGACCAATAGTTAAATTAACTGTACATTCTGCAAGGCAGTAGTATGTGATTCTTGATCATAACTAAACAGGACTTGGTGATATACATGATGTACATTCTTGGATTGCATTGCGTGAAAGCATCTCAATTTTTCAAGTTTATTGAAAACTTAAATCAGTGTTTCTAACTTGACATTCCTCTTCTTAAAGGTGATTCTGCATATAGCAGGAAATGTAAAAGGCCAACAGGAATAAACTGGCTACAAACAGAGCAGCAGTGTTAGCAGAAACTGTCTCAAAAACTTTTATGGGTTATATTTCCTCTTTTACTGTGTATTGATTATTTTCACAATAAGCGGCTGCCTGCAGACTTAGATACAGAAAACATACGCCAAGAGATGGCATGTGAAGATGAGCCAACAGACGTGGGGTGGGTGAATGTTCCACGCTGTAAAGTGATATTCAGCATTCTTTGGGGTCATTGCCTTGATAACTCCGCACCCAGTGAGTAATATGGTCATATGACAATGGCAGGCCACTGTAGCCTAGGGAGAAGGAAGCTCTTTTTGTGTTCCTAACCAGGCATATTCAA